TTAGTAACTGTGGTGGTGTAAGGAACAATATCCTAAAGATAAAAACTATTTGTTGTTTACATTGTTTTTAGTACAGCCCATAAGGTGCAATTGAGTTTCAAGATGTAATTGTTTTTGGATTTGGTCGTTAATCTTGAGTGAAAATTATAATTAGTTTATATTTTAAATTTGGACCAATTTAGTTCTCATATTAAAATTAGTTGTTTCTATCATAATGTATGATTATTTAATAGGGGATTCATGGCAAATAATAGTTTGACTCATTATTGCCGATATAATGGTCTACTTCTTCATATACATCGTGCAATGCATGCAGTTATCGACAGACAAAAGAATCATGGTATGCACTTTCGTGTATTAGCTAAAGCATTACGTTTGTCTGGTGGAGATCATGTCCACTCCGGTACCGTAGTAGGTAAACTTGAAGGGGAAAGAGAAATAACTTTAGATTTTTCGAGTCTGATTTCTATGTTATGTATGGTTGTGCTTAAAGGAATATTAGTTGAAGTAGATTTTTCTTTTTGATTAATCAAAACCTCTTTCCAAACTATACAAACTTCTTACAAAGCATACAATTTTTTAGATGTAGATGATGATATCTATACAAATGGATCTTATATATATCACAATGAAGTAACACACGAGTGGGTATATAAGAGTCCAAATCTACTGCTCATGTTATGATCTTTTACATCCTAGGTCTTCCCGTTCCTTCATTTGAATTATGTTATTTTTGTAGCATTCTTTTTAATCAAATTTTATTAAGTTTATTTGATGTTTCAAATGTGTTTCTTAGTTAACATTGAAGTAAAAATGTGTCAAATGATATAAACAACTTAAATGTTATCACGAAACATGTTTAAAACATCAAATAAACCTAACAAAGTTTAGTTAAAAAGACTAAATATACACAATTTTTAAATTAAAGAACTAAATTGAATCAAATTTTTGAAAATAAACTAATTTCAATTTTTACTAAAAGTTAAGAAACCAAAAAAACATTTATCCCGTTATTTTTTCAACATCTTCAAGTTTAAAGAACTATAGTTTTTGGAAAGGAAATTGACAATATTTTTCAAAAAGAAAAAAAACAATTAAGGTTATTATTTATCATAATTAGGCATCGTAATTTTTATCGTGTTCTAATCTTATTGATGAAGATATTTTTCACAAAAACGTTCCTAGATGAAAATATTATAATGAAAGTTTTCAAAATTATCCGTTTAAACATGCTTTTGATGCTTAATCAACCCAATTAAACCATTAATTAGATGTATGCTCTAACTTTAGGTACAAGAAAATAACAACACAAATGATTAAACAATTTGTTCAACTCACTTGAGAGATTCAACGTTGCTAAAAAAAACTCTAAAATACTTGTCCTAGATGCTGAAAGAGTAAATCTAAAAATGGGCATTAATAAGATGATGTTAGTTAAGTGGCATTTAATAAACTTCTTCATTCTTATATGCATTTAGTTTCTTTTTTAAATAAATCTATATTTAAATAACATATTTTCCTTTTTATGCAAATAAAGTTCCTTAAGTAATCTTATTCATAAAATATATATCATACTAGATCGTCAATACCAATATGACATTGAATGGATAAATAAATGAATATTCTATTTCAAAACATTTTTATTCGATTTTAATTTATTCATTTTCTATTCAATACACTATATTGTTTTATGGTGTAATTTTTTTCCCGGAAACTATATATGGCTTTTAAATTTTTATATAATTAGTTGTCTTGTATCTCCGTTAGTTAGTAATTTTATAAAATAGAAGAGTTAAAATTAGTGTATATCCGTTATACAATTTAACTAAATTACTAATATTTTTTGTGCTTTAGGCTTTCTAAGTTAGGATTTCTATATGAGCAAATTAGTTAGAGAAAAATATGTATTGTTCTTGATTAATAATTAGAAACAGTTTTTGAAATGGAGATATTCATACTCTGTAATAGGTTTCACTTTAAACTAAATCAAGAGAAAATTCAAAGTATAAGGAATGTAACCTTATAACATTCATACTATTCTATAAGTTTTTAGTATTTTTTTTTTCTAATAAAGAAAAACTATTTCCATTAAAATGATAATTCGAAGTCCAAGAATAAAAATATATTCTTTTAGAAATATTATGTTTATTTATTAAATAATTTAGAACTAGAATTATAATGATATTATTTTAAGGGTGAAATAAATCATGTCAATGAAATTAATTAATTTTTTTAACTATAAATAATTCATACTCATAACGCAGGTTAAAAAAAATTATGCATTTTGGAATTCTTCTTGTGTTAATTGTGGATTTGTGGTGTTACAATTTATTTTCTCTATGTATAAATAAAACAAATTGCATGATGTCTATCTATCATCTCTTTTTCTGAAGAAATCAAAAGTAAAAGGTTATGAAGGGCCTTTTCAAATTTTAGTGGGTTGAACAAAAGAAAAACAGAAACAATCTTATAGCAACAAACACTATTACACATCATTCAACATGGCACAATATAATTTAGATTTTCTGCTGAATTTTTCTCTATTTTTCATATGTTGTGTTTTCAAAATATATTAATTTTGATGTTTTATTTTTTATTTTTTTAATTTTAACAATGGTCAACAAAATTCAAGAAATAATATGGACACAATATTTACTATGCATGTCAGCTGTAACCTTTGCTTTTTAGAATGTCACACGGATAAATTTAGGGGTGGAAAAACGAATTTTTTGGCTCGTTTAGGCCCACAAAAAATGGATCGGTTAGTTGACCCGCCAAAAAAAAATCATAAATTATAAGAGGAGTTGACGGGCTGCCATCACATTTTATTTTTAATCTTTTAAAAATTTGTTTTTAAAATTAGTTTGTATATATATTATAAATAAATATTTAGAACACATTTAATCCTATAACTATTTTATAAGCTTTTAATTGATATTTTTAATTAGATAAAAATTAAAATTATTATAATGTTAAATTACTTTATTATAAATAATAATTAAAATTTAATTTGTAAATATTAATGATTTAAATTATAATAATATTGAATATTTACATTATATATATATATATATATATATGATTTCTGCAGGAGTTTCATTTGAGATTTATAGGTATAAAAATATAATTTCTTTATAATTTATTATTATCTTAAAAAATTAATTTTTAATATTTAAAATATAAAATATAAATAAAAGGAAATCAAATAGTAAATTAGCATGACAAAAAAAATATACTTTTTTAATCATATGAATATTGTTGCTCATACTGATAGCTGGGATCGGATGTATAATGCGAAAGTATATATTGATATTAAGTTACGTATTGGTCTCAAAAGGAATATAAATTTTTAAAAGTTGTTGAGTTTGAATTTGTTTCATTTATTTATTCTGGTGTATTTTATAAACAATGGACATGATTCATTATTATCGATGAATAATTGATGAGATTTATATAAATTATTTTATTAGTAGTAGCTTGTGCTTGTTTTTATAATTATAATGATTAATATTTTAGACAGACTCTAATACTAAAACAATGGACATAAATTTACTTAATTATAAATATTTATTTCTATATTTTTTATATATATAATTTTGTTTCACAATAATTTCATTTGAGATTTATAGGTATAAGAACTACAAATTATTTAATAGATTTCGTTATTTTACGAAATTAATCATTAATATTTGAAATATAAATAAACATAGAACAAAAAATAAATTAGAATGACGTAAAAAAATACTCTTTAATATTATAAATTCTATTGCCCATACTTATAATAACATTTTGTGGTACTCAAGGTCATCCATTTTGTGTGGAATAAACAACTTGATTAAATGTTTAAAAAATGACTTATTATGTAAATTTAATATTTCAAATTTTATTTTACTATTGAAGAGGAGATGATGTTTTCATATAAATTATAAACTGTTTACATATATATTTACAGAGAGCTTATAAAAACTTAAAAATAAGTTAAAATATTAAAAAAGAGAGCAAAATGAATCCAATACGTTGCGAATGACGATTGGTTTCAAGTGTTAAAATCATGGTTTGTCTTAATGAAAGAAAATTTTGTTGGCCTTTATATGTGAAATCGTGATTTGGAATTACGTTGGATATCAAATTTCAATTCAAGAAAATGTGCGATTGGAAATATTTACACAAACATTATTCTATTCGCAATAGCTAGTCAACTAACGTCTCTTTGAACCAAAAGATAAGAATCTTTTGCTACTTTTTTTAACAGTTTTGTTGACATTGTTAAGCTAAGATATTTTTCTTGAAAAGATGTTTATTACACTTTTATTGAAGCTTGAATGCAGAATGGGAACACAGTCGTTTAAACTTCACATAATTTATGATTAAACAGTGTGAAATAAATGAAAAGACAAGAGAAGAAAGAGGAACAAATAAGAAATGGAAACGTGAGTAGAGTGAGAGTGAATGTGGAAAGTGGGTCATGCACCAAAAAGCAAGTGGAGGTAGCATCTCCCTTTCTTTCTCCATCACAAAAGCAACCATAGCCAACACCACCAAATACACACACACTCACTCTCATAAACAAAAAATTAACCCAAATATTATACTAAAATAAATCTTAAAACACTCAAATTATAATACAATTTATATTTAATTACTAATTTGATTTTGATTTTCGTCTAAAAATGTCATAAAATCAAATTCATATATAATTCTTTTCTCCTTTACATCTCTTAGTACTATGTGTGCTCCCTTTTAGGCTCTAACATATATCCTTTCATTTCTATTTTGGCCTCTTCTCCCTAAAAAGCATTTCCTTCTATTCCCAAACTGGTCTAACATATCCCACTTTTACACTCAAAACTACTTTTAATTAATCGTTCAAATTACTTATTATTAGGAGCAGGAATTTGCACTTTCCAAATACATATAATTTTAGTTTTCTAACTGTCTCATATCCTCTTTATATATCTCACACATGCAATGTAATGTAGTTTAAAGTTTACGAGAGCATTCATTCACAAACATGAAATAAATTCCACAACTCCAATCCTAAACTTCGTTTTCTTTTACTCTTAATTTTTTTTTTAAGTTCCGTAAGAGAATTTTCCGTTACTATTTATATTTTTTTTTTCGCTTTATGAACGTCGGCGATGCCTACGCCGGTGGTTATTGCGATACAATGCCTGACGGTGGAGGCCGCAAAGGCGCTCCACGACGCCGTATCGGTGGCTCGGCGGCGCGGCCACGCCCAGACTACTTCACTGCACGCCGTCTCTGCTATGCTTTCCCAGGCATCCTCTACCCTGCGCGACGCATGCACACGCGCCCGAAGCGCCGTCTACTGGACGCGCCTCCAATACAGAGCCCTCGAACTTTCCCTCAGTGTGTCACTCGACCGTGTGCCGTCAGATTCTTGCGTCGGCGATGATCCTCCGGTGTCGAACTCGCTCATGGCCGCCATCAAGCGGTCGCAAGCTGAGCAGCGCCGCAAGCCCGAGAACTTGCACCTCCAGCAGCCTTGTTGCGTTAAGGTGGATCTGCGGCACCTGACCCTGTCCATCCTCGACGACCCCGTCGTGAGTCGCGTCTTCGCCGAAGCGGGTTTTCGGAGCTCTGAGATCAAACTCGCTATCCATCGTCCCCATACTAGCCTCATGCACCAACAACTTCCGCTTCGCCGGAGCTTCCCCTTCCCTTTCTCCGGCGAGGACAACAACGATCATCGGAGGATCGCGGAGGTGCTATCCCGGAAGGCAGGCAGGTATACGGTTTGTTGGAGATTAATAATTAATTATTTTCATACTTTGTAGCTTCTATTATTCTCTTAATTTCGTATAACTTTCATACTTAAAACGTACTTACATTTTTTTAATCTATTTTAAATTTTAACAGTTTCCTAAAAAATGAATACTAATATAAAAAAATTAATAACAATTTACATACATATTTAAGTATCTGAACTAGATTCATTAATAGTCTTTTAACTCTTGAAATTACGAGAACTATAGCAAATTTCAAACAAATATTTGTCTATTAAAACGAATTAAAAGTATAGTATGGTTGTGGGTTTAAAAGACTCGAACGCAAATTCTACTCAAATAGTTATAGAACTAATGTTTTAATATTTGTGAATTAAACTTGGAAAATTCAAAATACATTCTTTCCTAAACGGAAAATTTACTATTTTTGTGTAATTTCTATAGATAAGTGATAAATAAAATTATAAAATTGAGTTAGTCGTAATTGAAAAAACGATTTTGTGTTAAGAAGCTTGGTCACGCGAGTAAAAACTACGTTTAGTTTATATAATTTGTTTAATTTAATATTAAATTTATATATTTAGTACACATGACTTTAAAGTATGATATCTTTTAAGTCCGAATTCAAACTATGTTCAGAGATTAAAAATGATATATTTTAAAACATAAAGACTAAAATATAAATATTTTATACAAATAAATAATTGAATACAAGAGTCTAATTTAGAAAGAAAAGTTGTGATTTTGATTTTTGAAAATGAAATCAGTAACAAATTAAAGAACGAAAAGTTTAAGTTTGTAAATGATTACAAATTGGTGTATACATGTGATAAAAGTTTCACAAAATTTAACAACACATTAGTGTCGCACTTTTTACACGTTCATTAGTAAATAAAATTTTTGAGGAGTGAATAGACACGCTTAAAAGCGTACAATTTGACTGTTCATTCTATCATGTTTCTTCCTTTCTCAATCCTCTTGTCCAAAACGGTGTTTTGTACGAGGGAAGAAATCCCTTGCTTCTGGGTGCATATGCACGTGATGCGCTGTGGAGCTTCGCGGAAGCAGTGGAGAGGCAAAACAGCGGCGTTTTACGGGAGTTGTGCAGTTTGCGCGTGACGCGCATTGGAAGAGAGGTTATGGAGTTTGTTAGCGGGAGCTGCGGGGAAGAGAGTGTGCGTCGGAGGTTTGAAGAGATTGGTGATATGGTGGAGCAGCGCGTGGGGAAGGGTATTGTGGTGGATGTGGGAGATTTGGAGGATATGGTGAACGAGAAAAATGGTTGGGGTGAGAGTGAGACAGTTAAGTATGTTGTTGTAGGGCTAGGAAAGTTGTTGGAAGTTAGTTATGGAAGGTTATGGCTCATTGCTGCTGCTACAAATTATGAAAGCTTTATCAAATTCGTTGGAAGGTTTCCTTCTATAGAGAAGGATTGGGACTTGCAGCTTTTGCCAATTTTCTCTCTTCGTTCTTCATTCTCTGCTCAATCATATCACACTCGCAGGTACGGCATATATCACCAATTCGCCATCTTCTGTGTTTTTCTTTTTTGTTGATACAACTCTATATATTTATGTTATACTGAACCAATTTTTGGGGCGCTAGATTTAATTTAAACAACTTAGAAACCACAAAGACTAAATCTAAGCAATTAAATTTAAACAGATCAAAATCACATATAAGTATTATTCAAAAAAAATCTCACATAAATTAAAATACATAGAGATCAAAATTATAACTAATACTCCACTCTTTTCTTTTAACTAATAACTGTAATGGATAGACGTACGGGTTAATTTAGGTGCAAAGTTATTTTGAAAATGTGCTATTTTGACTTGGTAGTAAACGATATAATATAAGGGGGGAAAATGTAAAGGACTTGTATAAATATATTATATACATATGATTCATAAATAATTTGATTTAATTTTATTGTATTTAATTTAATTTTTCAACTGACTTTTTATGAGTATTATTATGGCAATACTCATTATAAGAAAATTGTGTATTTTGACGGAAATAATTCTTTTAAAATAGTAAAAATTTGTCAACAATTTGATTTTATTGAAGGATTACTAAAGGTAAAAAATGTTAAAAAAGTGATCATCAATAAATTTATTGACAAATATTGTAAAATTTGCACGATAATTACACACGTGCATAAATTTATAAATAAATATCCGTCAATAAAATTCGTATATAAATACAATAGGTTTTGATTGTATGTTAAAATTACGAGTTAGTCTTTTTTCTTTTCTTTTTATCTTCTTTTTCCTCTTTTCATTCATTTCTGGATACTTGAGAGTTGATTTGGAAGTAAAGTGTGTGAGAATTAGTGTAGAATTTGATTGGTGTGACAGATTTAAAAATTTGTTTAATTGGTAGAAATTAAAGATTACCAAAATGTTCCTAATTATTAAAGTAATATAAAATGTTATTTATTAATGTTATATTTTATTGTAAAAATATTTATGAGGGAAAAAATAAAAATTAATTTTTAAAATGTAAAAAAATGGTAATTTAGTAAATTGAAATAATAATAATAATAACAATTATTATTAATAATATTATTATTTTTATTATTATTAATATTAATATTATTATTATTATCATCATTATGAGAGAAAAAAATCATTATTATGAATATTATTATTAATATTATTAATTATTATCGTTATTATTAATTATAATCATTACTATTATTAATTATTATTATTAGTTATTATTTTTGTTTCTTGGTTGAAGATGTAATACATTCACACAGTGATAATAAAATACATTCAGTAAGTGCAAGGGGCTAAAAAGACATTTGATTATACATCATCTTAAATCTTCGCATAGCACGCAAATCTTTCCTTTCAATCGCTCACAATTCTTTTAAAGCGAACATGAAATATCTTCTAAATCTTCGCTTTCTTTGCTCGTGAATAGTAAATTCATATCAAGTGAACATACTGTTAATGTCCATTATCTCTGTCATCACTGGAGCGTCAATTGTCATCAACTCTGACTCATCCTTTTGCTCCTCCTTCTCTCATTCTTTTCTTCTTTCTCTTCTTCTTTCTTCTCAACCTCCTCTAACCAAGACAATCACCGCCCTCACACCTTTATGTCATTGTCACCATCAAACCACCACCATCATTCGTCATGCCTTCATTATTGTCATCGTCACGTTTCTGGTGTTGTTGTCCCTGCATCTACCAACTCTGATTTCATCTTCCTGATCTTCTTATTTTCTTTGTCTTACTCATATCTTTATAATATATAAAAAAAATTGATGTTGGACAAGAAATTTATTGCTCAATTTATCACCATAATTGATCGATAAAATGCCAAACAATTAAAAGTATCTATTATTCATTCAAATTTGAATTTACCAACATATATAATCGACAAATTTTACTAACAAAATCATTATTAACGAAAGCTTTTGTCAATAATTTAAGTTATAAAACCTATCACTAAAATTTGTCAATAAATTTAAGTTTATCGACAAATTTTATTTTTGTTTGTAATTATGGCATAATATATTCAAAAAAAAAATTATGCATTTTTTTTATTTTAAGTTCTTGTAAGCTAATAAGCTAAATTGAATGATTCATGATCATTGAATTAAATTAAACTTGAGTTTAAAATAAAATTCATATCACTTGAGCGAAATTTTAACTTTAAATTGATTAATTAATTTTAAATCGAACTATGCTGAACGATAATTGACTCGATTCGCCTAACTTTCAACCTTTCGGTATAATTATATTGTTTTGGTGTCACATTTGTTGTTTAATTTTCTCTCTCAAAAAGAAAAAAAATCTACCGATAAATATGGTTAATTTTTAATATAAATATACATTTTGATGAAATTGGAGAAAAAAAATATTATACTATCTTCATAACTTTTTTGCACAGGAAGGTAACCCAACAATAAAGTCTTGGCCAACACCCACAACTTGGCCACGACTTTAGCTTCAATTCTAATTAAATTCAAATCGTGTTTATATAACATAATTTTGTTAGAATTATTAAACACGGTTTCTAATTAAAGTTGTATTTTGGTATTATGGTTCTTTTGTAATGAAATTGTATTATGGAAATATCACTTACCCATAAAGGTAAGTTTAAATTATATTTCAGTAAAATTGGAAAAAATTATACTACTTTCGTAACATTACGAACACGGAAGGACAGAGAAAAATACAACAGTGAAATCGTGGCTAGCATCGACAACTTTAGTTTCAATCTTAATTAAACTGAAGTTGTGTTTATGAAACACGAGTTTGCCAAATTTATGAAAATCATTTAGTTCGAACACGATTTCATTTGAAGCAAAAAAAAAATGTAGTTAGACGTGACTTTTTTCAAATAAAATCATGTCATGTAATCACAACTTATGCTGTAGATAACTTAAAAACAAAGATACTCATTTCAGTAAAATTGGAAAAAAAAATAACACTACTTTAGTAACATCACCATGATCACATCCTCAGCAATTAGAATTCTGCTTCTATGACGCAGTAACTAGTTTTACACGATAGGAAATTTTCTCTAAACTATATATATTTTTTTGTTGGACTATTCTGAGTTATTTACAGGAACAATGCAAAATGGATTCATTTGTGCCATTTGCTATTGCTTTTTTTTTTCTTTTCTTTATTTCCTGGTTTGATTAATTTTAATGTGTTTGCCATCAATATGGTGAAAGGTGTGAACCGAGTACTCTCGCTGCTTCAACTGTTGATCTTTGCTTGCCTAACTTACCTCCACGATTGCACATTTCAGAATTAGGATCAGCAAAAGGATTAAATCTTAAGGTGTGTAGTACTTGCATACATTCTGGCTCAAATTATTGAGAGGAGTAATTTTCCAACCCAAAACAGAAAATAATAGGAAACTAAAGTTAAGGGCTAGTTCAATTGAGAAATTAAATTGACCTACTCTCATTGTAATTCATGATTTTCAAGGACTTGAATGAGCTACATTACCGTCTTAATTTTGCTCCTCCTTGTTTTAATAGTTAGTAATAGCTTATCATCAATTGACCTTCATGTCTCACATAACATCCTTCGGATTATCTGTTAATTGACCAGAGATTGCCTTATTTGCATGGAGAGTTAAACCACTTTTTTTCCATTCAGTGCAGATAGAAGATGATGGTGTCGTGTGGAATAGTAGTGAATCTGCAACGCATAAGAACTTGGACAAGAGGTGCCAGAATCTGCATGAAATATTCCCTGATGCAAATAACACTCCAACAGTTATGGCGTTCCAATATTGTGACAATAAAGAAAAAGATGCTAGCAACACCAGCAACAGACTTACACTCACATCAAGTAAGTACATCAATATCAACTCAGAAGTGCCTGTTGGTAAGCAAACGATTTCCACATCACAATCACGCAGTTTTTTTCCTTTGGATTTCAATGCAGGGCATGAGAAGTATACTCCAAAACTTTCACAGAAGTTCCAGAAAGTGGAACGTTTGGATTCAAGTGATCTAGGATCATGCAACATGTACACTTCCATTGTTTGTGATTTGGGATTAGGAATGTGCTCCTCTCCTTCCAGTGATAAATCTAACAAACCTTCCAGTCAATTTACAATTGAACCTCCAAAGGAAATCTCAAGTTTATTTTCTTCAGAAGTTAATGTTGCTGGTGGAAATATCTTGAAGCCTCCATCCCAGCCACCAACCTTAAGTTTTGACTTTTGTAGAAAGGTTGATCCAAGGAATCCCAAAATTCTTTACGATGTCCTTACTCAGGAGGTTAGCTGGCAAGATGAAGCCATTAGTGTCATCAGCAAAACAATAGCTGGCAGCCATACAAAAAAGGTTGGTGCAAATCATAGGGGTGACGTGTGGATGAATTTTGTTGGACCAGATAGGAATGGTAAAAAGAAAATTGCTGTTACTCTGGCTGAGTTCTTGTATGGAAGCCGGGATAGATATATTTTTGTGGATCTAAGTTCTAAAGAAATGAAAGGATGCAATGTGAAATTCAGAGGAAAGACTACTCTTGATTTAATTGTAGGTGAATATTGCAAGAACCCCTTCTCTGTGGTCTTTCTCGAAAATGCAGACGAGGCTGATGTGTTAGTTCAAAATGGTTTGTCTCAAGCCATGAAAACAGGAAAGCTAACTGACTCACGTGGAAGAGAAGTGGGTGTAAACAATGCAATATTTGTGACTTCTTTCACTGGTCACCAAACAAGGGAACCGTCCAACTGTTCCGAGAGAATACCAAAGGTAAAAGGGAGGGCTATAAAAATATCAGTTGAACATGTGAGTGGAGACATCAAAAGCCAAAGTGTTAGTGTTTGTGATGGTTCAATAGATAACATTCCCAATCCAGTTTTAGCAAATAAACGAAATTTCATTAGCTACAATGAGTTTCAAGATCAGCACTTAATCTCAGACAAGGCTAAAAGAGTACACACAGCACCAAATTTGCATTTAGATTTGAATCTTCCAGCAGAAGAGAATGAATCTCAAGTTCAACATATGAATGATGTGAACTTGGAACATGCATCAACTGAGATCCAAAACCTTTGGTTGCAAGATTTGTATAAACTGGTTGATGAAACAGTTATTTTCAAACCTTTTAATTTTGATGCACTTGCGGATAGAGTGGTGAATGTGATGACAAGTAGCCTTACAGATAGAATCTGAAGTCATGGACCAATTGCTTGCAGCTGCATATGCCTCAGATGGACACAAGGACATAGAGAATTGGGCAGAACAAGTTCTCTGTGGGGGATTTACAGAAGCACATAGAAGGTACAACCTTACTGATTGTTTTACGGTTAAGCTTGCTACATATTCGCATCAAGAATCAAATGTGTACCTTCCTCCTAGTATAATAATTGATTAAATTTCTTAGAAAATGTTCTTCCAATTTGGATGTATAACTTAGCTGTAGCACATAATTGAACTTAATCTAGCTAATGCAGATATGATTATTCTGGGTTTCTTTATCTCAGTGTCAAAGTTATAAGTGTATACTCTGTAGTCTCTATTTTCCAGCAAGTATTTGTGTCTTACATAGTAAAACCAATAATCTTCATACAACCCAAGGAAAAGAAAAAAAGTCAAATGTATTCTAGATTTTTTTGGGCCCCTAGGTCCACCTTGAAACAAAAAAAGAAGCATATATTACAAATTAAAAGAACAAAAGTATTCGATGAAATAAAAGATGATCCTATTTTATTCATTTTATAATATTTTTAATGATCTAAATTATGGAAAATAATGTAATTTTACTTCATTTGTTTTTTTTTATCAATCCAAATAACATAAATGATAAAGTTTTCTTTAAGAAAAAAAAAGTTCATCATCAAAATTGCAAATCAATCCACCTGTTTATATAAGTCTGCCATTTGAATCCCTGTGTATTCTCACTCTTAGTCGTTTTCACACTTTTACTTACCCCTTATATGTTTTGCGGAAAGATAAATCTTACAATTTGTATAATTAGTGAATAATAACTCAATTCTAGAATTTAAATTATAATTGGTGCAAAACATAACTTGATCAGAGAGTACAGAGCAATTTCCTTACTTTAAAAATAATTTAATTCATCAAAATTAATATATTAATGTTTAATAACATATTTTTTATTATTTTAAATTACTTTTATTTTAGTATTGTTATACACTGATCAATAACTCTTGGTGATTGAAGTTCAATTGTCAAACTTTTCTAGGTGAAATGGTTGTTTTAATTTTTCACCAAAACTTTCTAAAATGTAAAAGCTTTTAGTAAATGTAATTTTTTATAATTAGTATTGTTATACACTGACCAATATTCTGATGATTTATTGTAAAATTTTACAATTAAATCCCTGTAAAGCAAAACTACCTTGTTCCAAAATATACAACTACTTAATTAATTCACATTCATTAGAAAACGGATTACTTTAGGGATTGACATTAAAATTACTAACAATTTATGTATGTTTCTCGAAATTCCTCTTAAAATAATTCGAACTCTACCTGTCACTATTTTCCAGCATGAGAAGTCTGATGTATTTGGGTTTTAGAAATTGGGCTTGAGTTCCATCTGCTGAAATAAACTCTAATTTTATTCTTCTAACTTCACAAACTCTCTACCCCTTATAATTTTTGCCAGAAAAATAACTAATTAGCTTGTATCAATTATTTCTTTATCCTCATAGAAGAAGAAATTAATGTATTGTACTAGTGTATAATGTACTTATTACAAACAATTAAAAGTATCTTCATAAAATAGTAAACAGAAATAATTCAAAAAGAGGTGAACAAATTTTTTAAAATCTTATATTTAGGAATCAATATAGTATTGTTCATGCTCTCACATATGAAAATGGGAGAGAAGATTGAAAGAGAAATCAAAATGTTTTATTCTTAAATAAAATTATAAAATATTTATTTTGTTTTACGAAAATTATTTAAAATATCATTTTTTAATAAACCACATTTGTAATGCTTTTTATATGATAAAAAAGATTTTATATTGAACTATAATATAATTTTTTCGTAATATTTGTTAAAAATAATGTTTTACATAACTCTCGTATAGTATAAGAACAAAAACAATTATATTTTAATTTAAAAACAAAATGTAACTTTTTATAATGTTTGGGAATTAGAAATATATTTAACTAAATAAATTTCTAAATAATGAGTTTATAAATATGAATTATTTTATTCATATCCAAAGCTAGTCATGAAATAATTAAAAGGAAAAATAGTGATATGAGAATGCATGTATGTATCGTAGTTCTAATATTTAATCCATATATAAAATAGAGTTAAATAAAAATTCAACTATAGACTAATCAGGATTTTAAAATACGTGTTAATCCAAAAACCATATCCTTTAAGGAGAGACAGAGTCATATTTTATTTCAATTAATTAATTAAAGTAGTGTCGGATTTGTTTAAGGTCGTTGCCATCTTCTGTTGTCTTTTTGTTACAATACTCAATTTGATTCTTTGCTTAAAAATGTTAATCTCCTTACATCACTAATGGCTAATTAAATAAATATGTAACCGTCCATTATTTTTCTAATTAGAAGTTTCCCCTCAAAAAAAGCATGCATGCATAAAGAATATAATACTTTTATTTTCCGAATAAATAAAATAATTTACTAAAATTTTCTCTAAAATACCATAAATAATTTGTTTCTTAACTCAAATTGATTCGGACACTAGTACAAAAATACTTATAACATCGGTGTATTTTTGGTCTTTCACGCCGAAAACGTCGTATTAAGAAACGTTAAATAGACGTTAATTAATTTTTTTGTTTTTTTAATTAATTGTGATTTTTTTTTACAACTCTACAAAGACTTGAAAAACATAAAAACAATAAATTTCAATTTTTGATATTTTATAAGGTAGAAAGTATGCAATGTAGTATCAATAACAAACAAGTTCAACCAAAAAAAAGGTAGAACACGAAAACAATTCGTTAAAACAAACAAAAATCATACATAAAGTAGTTAATTAACATGTATTTGTATCAAATAAAAGAAAAATTACATATGATGGTCGTCAAACTTCGTTCGAGAAAAGTTTGAGCAGAAAAAAGGGTCTCGCGCTCTAAGATAAAGTGAATGAATTTTCAATTTCTAGCTCAAATTTTTATTGAATTCACTGACTTTTTGACGTCTAACGCTAGGACATTCGACGTTTTATAACCTTTTCACGTTTAATTCTACAATATTCAATGTCATACGTAAATATATTTTCACCTTTGGAACAAATATTTTTGCAAAATTTATTCAATAGGATGTCGAACTTCTTAATATTCAACATAAAGTTTTGAACGATGTCTAACAATTGCATTTATTTATAAAAATGTCACCAATTATTTTTAATTTTGACTTTTAACTTTACTTAGTTAGTGATTAATCCACGTGAAAAGCAAACTTATTGGACCAATAATACATGATAGAAATTATCTAAATAAGATAACAACACTACAACAAACAATAGTGATAATGATTGAAAAGATGTGTTGATATAATTTTTTTAACTTGTATTTTAGAATACAATAATCAGGTTATATATAATTTTAGTTTATATGTAATTTGTAATTTAATTTAATTTTTAATTGATATGAAATTTATAATAATATTAAAAATGATAAAATATATGTTATTCATATACTCAAACTTATTTTTTTTATTATTAATTAACATTTTAAAACTTATGAACAAAAAAGTATAGTCTACATAATTTTATAATTCTTAAAAAAATTTCAACAATAACAAATATATTTTAAAAAGTATAATAGAAACTTCTTAGTATATGTTTATCAACTAGACTGTAACTGATGTTATCACCTCCATTAAACTCCTAGCAATAATTGGAAAGAAGTTGAGGCATACAACCAATTTTTAGAATATGAAACATAATTTAAAAATAATAGAAATTAATAAAAGTGGAATTGTTCATTTCAGCCTTCAATGTCCTTGCTCAAAAGAGACCGAGACAAATATATATATTTTCAATAATTATTATATTTATATATACTAAAATAATATAAGCTGTTGATTCGAGTTAACAAGTAACTATGATTAATAATTACAAACTATTAACTTGGTTGAATGAAGTTATTTATTGAAATAACTTGGTAAAATATATATATATATATATATTTATTGTGACTTAAAAAGCCTATCCTTGTATTGCAATAGGTGTTTTATGAACTTTTATATTAAATCCATTTTTTCTTCTTAATTAATCATTTATAAAATAGCTAGAAAATAACATATGACTGTTAATGTAGTGAAAAGAGATTTTGAATAAGGCCAAATGTTCTAATTTTAGTGTATTCATGCTAAAAAATTCAACTAATATTTTAATTTATTTATTATTATGTTTTAATAAAACAAAATGCAAAGAAAAACAATGAAACCTTAAATTTTATTAGGAGTACTCATTAGAATTATATGATCTAACATTACCTAATCTAATTTAATTAAATTGTTTAATTTTATTTACGATAGAATTCAATTTGATCCAATCTATATCATCTCACTCTTACATGAATTATGAGTTTAATATAAATGATTGAATATTTAATTTAAAACTTTTTGGAATAATTATATTATTTAAGAGTGAATTTTAAATTTAATTTAATTCCATAAAATTGGTTTATCATTAGATTTTAATAACAAATTCATTAGGTTAGATTACATGACCTATAATAACCTAAAATAATTAAATTAAATTATGTTAAATTTTATTTATGATAGAATTCAACTTGGCCTCATCTAAATTAACTCACTCGTATATGAATTATCTCATATATGAATTGATGATGAATTTCATATAAATGACTCGCTATTTAATTCAAAAATTATTTGAATAATCATATTGTTAAGAAATAAATTTGAAATTTAACTCAATTTTACAAAATTGACTTGTAAAGTGAAGTTTGTACTCATTTACGTATTATGAATTGATATTATTTCTAATCGATACATGATTTCCAACACTCCCTCACATCGAGATATATACATCTCGTATGTGAGATTATATATTAATGGGTGATTCGATAACGAATGAAACAATACACCCAACAAAAAACAAATTTCACTAGATTAGACTCAAGTTCATAAATTTGATATCATCTTAAGAAGTAAACTTTAAACTTAATTTCTAAAACTGGCTTGTAAAGTGAGATTTCCTTCTCATGTTAGAGATATATCTCATAGCGGTCCGATAATGAATATAATAATATGTTCAACAAACAAGAAATCTTCCTAAAATAGATTCTACAAATAGTTCTTATATCATATTAAAAAGTGAACTTTAAATTTAACTCAATTCGATAAAAAAGACTTGTAAAATAAGGTTTGCACCTACTTATATATTTTAAAATCGTCTTATATTTAATTGATGCAAAACTTATAACCTATATTATGGATAATTGTAATGTGTTTTGAATTAGTTTGGACAATGGACATCAA